TGTGTGTGTGTGTGTGTGTGTGTGTGTGTGTGTGTGTGTTTGTCAAATAAGTCACTCATCAAATTGAATTAACCATTGATAATTCAAAGTAAAATATAATGATTAATATATATTTTACAGTAATTTTTTTGAATATTTATTATAACTTTTAGTACAGGTATAATAAAGTCTATATCGTATACAATTCATTCATAAATTTTTATAAGGTTTAGTTTAAAAAATAAAATTTTATTTTCACTAATGAATAGTGACATCATAAATTAAATAAGACAATAAATTGACATAAAATTGATTTTTTTTATTTTATATTTTTTTGTTGCTGTAAATCCAATAATATTGGTAAGATATAAAATAGACAGTTATCTTTTTTTTATAAATACAGTATAATTTATATTTATACTTACAATATACAGTATTGTATATATATATGCAAATACGGATTTTTTGAAATTTAAAATTAAATTACAAAAACAAGAAACTAACAGAAATAAAAAATAAATATAACATAAAATTTTTAAAAATTACATTTGCGTTCAGCAAAATTATATGCAAATTTTTCTAGCATTAAGTTTTATGTATGTATACAGTATATACTAATATCTAACTAAAAATAATAATAACTATAATTTTATTAAAAATAATGATAATTATGTGTATGTGTGTGTGTGTGTTGTTTTATGGTGTCTATAAAATAATTTATATAATTATTGTTTATACTTTGTATTTAGATATATATAAATATATATATATTAATATAATACAATATTTTTGTATTATACAACAGTATACGGTATATATATATATATAGTTCATTATGTTTTATAGTGATATAGCAATAGTTAGCGGTTATTATTAATTGAAAAATTTACATTTCAAAGGACACACATATTTTTCATTGCAAAAATTTTTATTAAAAATTTTTAATACTTAAACCATATTATTAGCATTATATCAACAGTAAACCATAGATTTATGTATTTAGTATTATAATATATATATACTTCATACTGTATTATACTTTATATAATGCATTTTGTTTTAAAATATAAAACAATTTATTATGTTTATAGATCCATATTGTTAATTATATTAAAATAGACATATTTTTAAAAAATATTTTATATACAATATTACTTTTTATCTATTATTAAATTTATTATTAATGCTATTGTTTTTGGTTTAATATATATTTTTAAATAGAGATAAATCAAAACTAAAGCTATCAGTGATATTATACATGCAATAAATATAAAATATATATTTATTATATTTTTATTTCAGTATAAATAAATATATTAAAATTTAGTAGTTTTAAAATTTTATTTTATATTATTACTACTTAATAAATTAATTAAATAAAACAATACATATTGTAATTTAAAGAATATTATCAGTATTTATATATTATTATTGTTATTTTTATATAAAAAAAATAATATAAAAATTTAATTAGAAATACTTACAGTTAACAATCATTAATAATATAAATTTAATTATTTTAAATACAAATTATCAAATAAATTTTGACTATAATTTGGTAAATACGTGATAACAAGCTATCAATAATAATAATACAGTAATAATATTTGATTTTATGGGTGTCATTGATTAAGTGGTACTCAATTATATACATTTGCAAAAATCATTGCTTATATAATATACAGTGTCGTCATATACTGATAATATAGAAATATATATATATTATATCAATAGTAATGGGCATCAATTCGTGTGTCAATAATAATAATAATATTATTATTATTATGACACACACAGAGACATACCGTTTCTCTATTAACTATTATACAAAATAGCCACATAACTGGCCAATTCATGCGATACATAAACACTGTACACTTTTCTAACAAATATACTATACCTTATAATATGGCAATTTATATTAGCAATAATACTGTATATTATTATATAATACATGATATATATATATGACAAGCGGTATAATAGTTTGATCCTCTTTTATCTATAGACTTATGTCCATTGAATTGAATTACATTTTTTTCTYTCTCTCTCTCTCTCTTTTTCTGTTTGATGGTTAGTAGCCATTGATATTAAGTGTAAATTTTTTTCAATAATTATTATTATGACTTATTATACTGTATATACGTTGTAATACAGTATACACTAACCCAACAACAAAACTAAAGTATTTTATTTAATACTTATAGTTATACTGTACCACTATTTAACATTAATGATATTTTATTGTATAGAATGTATAACACAGAAAAATAGTTGCAATCTTTTTAAAAACTGAAGTCATTTTTTCTACATCTTTAACTTAAAGGCCTTTTACTTTACATTACATTAAGTTTTCGTTTTATTTATCTCTCTCTCTCTCTCTCTCTCTCTCTCTCTCTCTCTCTCTCTCTCTCTCTCTCTCTCTC